CTCTCTCTCTCTCTCTCTCTCTCTCTCTCTCTCTCTCTCTCTCACACACTCACACACACTCACCACTCACGGACACGCACAAACTCACCCCCCCCCCACGCGCCACTCTCCACGCGGAGTGGGAGTTAGTGGAAAGTCTTCCACCGGGGCGAGCAACGTGAGCTGGGTTTCTACGCTGAGGGCAGCCTGTTTCAGACTTCACCTCGACCTGCTAGGAAGTGTGTGGCGGTGCAGAAAACATTAAATAAAAAAAATCAGACTAAGCCGAGATTGCTTTAAAACAAACAAACCCCCTCCCCTCTGGTGGGAAAAAAAAAACCCGCTAAACACAAAAAAGACACAAAACAACCACAATTTTCAAACTGAGAAACGTGAAGTCAGTGGCCCAGGGTTCTGGACAGACTCAAGATCTGTTTTGTTTAGTTCAGAGCGATGGTATGTGACTTCCAAATGACCAGTCTTGTTTGCTTTTCGTGTTCGTCCTTTGCAAACGTCCAGCCCCACGCACACAATTTATTTCCTGTCTCTACGTGTAAAGCTACTTGTTATTCCTTTTCTAAGTGTCTTATTTTGCTTTAAAGATTGAACGACGGTGCTAAATTTTCAGAATTAATGCAAGTAAGTAGTTTCTAAGCATTGGTAACTTTAACACACTTATGGCGGGAATCAGTGAATTACAGTAAATCCAAACAGTGCGGAATCCGGAATTTTTTTTCTATCCTATTTTTGGGGTCTCCGTTCTCCCTGTCTCTCTACGATACTGGAAAACAATAACAAATAATACTTAGTTGCCTGTGTAGCCCATTCCTTTTTTCTTTTTAAAGCACTCTTTAGCATAAGAAACCACTTTGTTCCATATTCTTATTTGCGTTTTCAAATGCAGAAAGCTTTACTTAGCTCCCATTGCTGGGTTGAGTTTTTACAATTGGAGTCGTTATAAAAAAGTTTAGTTCAGTCTTCAACACCCCGTTTCGGCAAGGAATTTAACAGTTCCTTTTCCCTCCAGCACCCCAACTCTTAAAAAGGGGGGGGGATTATGATGGATTTCTTCCTGCTCCGTTAAATGCGTCTTTTTCCCAGCCCACCGTTTTCTGCCCTAGCCTAGATCCGCCTCTGCCTAAATCCGTGTGTGCTTGTCTGCGGGTCTGCCTTCTTTCTCCCTTGTCCTCTCCGACAGTGAGTCTGGGACACATTTTAATGCACGGTATCCCATCCATTAAGTTGTGGTTGAATGCGGAATGTGTGAGGACTTGGCAGCTTTCAGGTTGAAGGGGGCGGGGAAGCCGGTTTCGACTTTGACACAAGATGCCGCGGTGGCGTGATCTGAATTATTATTAGGGCTGTGAACATGGCCATCTTCCCCTCCTGGTTGGAAGAACTGCCATTGAACTTGAGACAGGACAGACAAGATCTCCAGGTTTTCCTTACTCCCTCAAGTACAGTAGCTGGCAGGGAAAAGGCGCCAAAATACACAAGATTAACTGACTTTCTTTGAACGGGTCTTATAGCACCCTCCTTTGTAACCCTAACTTCCAACGGGAGTTGGGGGGGGGCGTTAACTTTTGAACCCATATTTGAACAGACGTTTAAATCAGCCCTAAAGTGGAAGAAGTCCAGAAAGTCATACACGCATGCTTCTGCGGTTAGAAAGAATGCGCGTGTAAATAAGCAGGGTGCATGGGTGCCTGCGAGGAGGGGCTGGAGATTTAATCAAAATCAGAGCAAGTGACTTCCCAGTGCATTTACTGACTGGGAAGTGCGTTGTGAGGCTAAGAAGCTGACCTAGGAGCAGCTTGAGTTAAACCGGCAAAGGGCTGTGAAATGCAAAACGCTGTGGTTTCCAGTTTTACATTTGAGGTTTAATGTTTTTATTTAATGGTATGAGGGATGGAGAGAGCTCCAGCGCTGAAAAGTCCCTATTAAATCATATCTGGTCAAAGGTCAAACACTCCAACTCACTGATACAATATACTGCAGATTCCTAGTGATGGAGAGCATAGGAAAAAGCGCTTGGGCAATAAAAGTATTAGAATGGTAATTATGGTCCGTGGTCAGGGCTGCATTCTTGTGCACTGGGCAAAGGTTTTTACTGGCCCTGATGAATTTTAAAGCCGAGTATTGTTGAAAGCTATTTTAACAGGAAATTGATTAGCTGAGTGTTTCATACAATAAATGGTGACAGATTCATTGTTTGATGTCCAGAATAAATTCCTTTTATTCTTCGGACGGCATAGGCATCCCTTTAGTTTTACTATGGGCAGACTGAGCAGCAGCGTAGTTTCCAGTGGATGTGATGTCATGCACATCTGTAACTTTGTTTTCGGACTCCTGTGGCATCATATAATTTGACAGTATTCGTGGCTTTGAGATTTACTAGCTTGTTGTGTTCTTTGAATGGCTCAGATACATCCAGAGATAATTTTTCTGAATATATATTTTGTTTAGGCCGAGTTGTTTGTGTTCTCCTTTTTGCTTCTTACATTTTCATTTCAAACTTAAATGGGGGGGGGAAAGCCCTCTTATGGAGCATTATTTTGATTTTGAAATTGAGCAGCAACTTTTCAGAGAAGAGCCAGAGAAAGGGTCCCAGACGTTTAAGACAGCCTCCGGCCACCTCTGACTCCGTGGCCAGACTGCTTGGGTGCTTTAGACAGACCTCTCTGAGTGGCGTCTTCACCAGTGACAGCATATGCAGATGAGCTGCGAATCTACCCACCCAGATAAAATGATGTAAAGATAATGTATTTTGGAAAAGGTCAAGGCAAAATAAGACACCACTGTGTTTGTAGCGCTCTAACCGCTGTGCACAAAGCCAGGCCACTGTGACAGAAATTTTCAAAGTTCAAAATAAATCAGACGAAAGTTGCAGGCCAGCTGCTGACTCTGTTGCCCGGGAGCAAATGTTTTCCAAGTTGGGGGATCTCTTGTTAAATTGGCTTCGTCTCTGTAGAGAAGAAGTAACCAGTGAACCTTGCTGTAGGCCTTTGGACTGGTCCTTGTTCACATTGAGAGCTGCAGCCTGGAACTGGGCTCCGGGGGCAGACGTGCTTAGTGGGATTTCTTTTTCATAGTTACGCACAGGCATTTCAGCAGCGGCATTATTAACAGCGTCATTTTTTCTCGTTTAGTTTTGTCCTCAGGGGAGAGCAAACAGCTCCCAGAGGAGGGAAGAAAAGTCCAAGGGTATTTATTCATTTCAGTTGAAAACAGAGGGCTGGCAGTAGGTGGGGAAACTCACCAGTTGTGAGTTCTCCAGTGGGGAAAAACTGCTCCCCTGATTTGATAGTAGTAGTTCAAGGGCTCAGAGAGCTGGGCATGATTCTGCAGTTCCCATCACGGGCATGCAAGCTTAGCCCTTGCTGGCTGTTTCTATATGCACGGGGGGGGTTGGTGGTGTTGCTGGTGGATATAAATCTGTTTTCCAGGCTAATTTTGGAGGAAAGAAAGGTCCCTGGGTAGGACACGGTGGACACCTGCAGTTCTGCAAGCTTGCTTCCTGAGGTCAGAAGGTTACATGCCTCTTTCGTATTTAGTTTTCAACATTGATACCGGCCGTGTAGCTAGAGTGTATGGGATTGTTGAACCTCCCCACAAAGCACATGCAAGGACTGAAAAAATAAAAGTAGTTTTGTACACTAAGTCTGACAGCTTTGTTAAGCTCGGAGGAACCTTACATGAAATAACTCGGGCTTTGCAATCTGTCTCTGTACCTATTTTTTTTTTTTTTAAAGAAGAAAGATTAAAGAAACAAAACAAAACCAGTATCAGGAGATGCTTGAGATATCAGGCCCTTCTCTGGAGGTCAGAGAAAGACTCAAACTAGGTGGCAATGTTTATTTTGTAATATACAAGTGGGTTTTGAGAACCCAGACACTAGAAGTCCTGACTTTTGTTTTAGAAAAATAAGCTTTTCTGTCAGAAAAGACACCTTCCCCTAATGTGGCAGCAGACAATGGTCAAGAAGGAGATCACTAGGAATACATGGCAACAGCTCTCCCTGTCCTGAGATTAGTGTAGGTGGCCTGTCATAGCCCCCAGTGCAAGAAAGGGACAACAGAAGGTTTAGAAGAGGCAAGGGCCAAAGCCTGCGTGTTTGGCCCATTTTGACAAATTCAGAAACTTTTCAGAGCAACTTGAAAGCTGCTTTTCTGAAGCACACAGACCTTACAATCCATGCTTTCTCTCCTTCTCCAGGGATTTGATGAGGAGTGTTTCTCAAAGCAAAGGGAGCTGACAAGTGCTGAGAGCAGCCAGAGAAAGCAGAGGACCCAGGAGTCCAGATTTCCCAAGAGCATTCTCCTAGGGGTCTCCCTGGGAAGCCTACAGTGACCTGAGCATTGGGCAGGCAGCAGAGCTTGGGGGCCAGGAGGTGTCAGCTCTCCTGACTCTGAACCCAAGGTCTGAAGGTCAAAGCCTTCCCCAGCCAGCATCCCAAGCCCTTCTTTCCCCGGATTATCTATTGTTCATTCTTCACCCTTTGCTTTCCTCATGTCACTGTTATTACTTCTTTATCCTTACCTTGGAAACAAATCCAAAACCCAAACTACAAAGCATCCCCTGTGGCCACCAGCATGTACCCCGAGCCATCAGCATTGTACAGACATAGATATGGGACACCTGGAAGTGTTCAGCCTCTTAGGGGTGGGCCTGGGAGGCCTGGAACCTTGGGCTCTCTGGGTTCTTACCTGTGTCTGGCGCTGCTTCTCTGCCCTGGTGCTCTGCAGCTTTTGTGAATTCTTCTGTATAATTTTTCATCTTTCTTTTTTTAAAGCTTGTGAGAAACTTTTGGATGCAACCTAGTTTTAGTGGCAAAAGGAAATAGGTTCTGTTGGGAAAGAAGACTAATAAAGAAAGGAGGGAGGTCTGGAGACACTTGCCCAGGGCCCAGCACTGGGCCTCTTTTGCCAGGGGACAACGGCTGGTTCTGGGCTCTGGCTGAAAAGAGTGCTCTCTGGGTGCCAGGATTTCGCTGGGGGTGGTGTAGTGAGGAGGGAGGGAGGGAGGAAGGGAGGGAAGCGGAGAGATGGGCACTGGATTTTTAAAGAGACCCCGAAATAATGGCTTCTCTAAGAGTCCAGGCATTCAAAGAGGTGTGTTCAAGGACATGAGTGCATTCGTGCCAAGGGGAATGTCTTTTATGGTAAATTAACTCCAGTTAAATTGAATATTTGTTCAAAGGGAAACTCCAGTAGTTAAAGCTGGTATTATCAGTGGAGCGTCCCCGCCCCCTCCCGCAGAATCTGGTGAGGGCGAGAAAGGGATGCAGCTCAGTACAAACTGATGCTTTGGGAGTGATCGGTTTTTTCCCCCTTCCCTCTTTCTTTCCTTTAAAAGTTAAGATGAGGCTGCCTAAAATTTATGAGAGAGAAGTGAGTATTTACTTGGATTAATCCCGATTGTCACCCCCTTTCATCTATAAAGACTGTCCACTTTATCCCAGCTTTCCAAGAAGAAGAAATGACCGGTACAAAGGAAATTAACGTTGTCAGAACGCTAACTAGAGGATTTGCCTAGCGGGGGCAGGGAGGCCGCTCGCTCCCCGCGGGCGGCGCGTGCCCTAAAGGGTTAACTCGCCCGTGTTCTCACAGTTTCCCCGACTTTACCTGTCCTCCCAGACCCGCGGCCCTCCCCGCCTCCTGGCCTCCCCACCCCCTGCGCCTTTCTTCACCGGGCTCTTGGTTTACAGGGGCTGCAGCTGGTAGACTTGGCAAGCTCGCCTCATTAAGAGCGCTTTTTGAAAACGGACTGTGTTTGAGCATTTCCCTAATGAGGACAGGACGGGGTTAAAAAGTGACCATTTCATGGTTGACTTGAACCTGCCTACTTTTCTTGATGTGTCGTTGTGAAATGCTTGATGTGGGTAACTTCCACTCGGGGAAGGAAAAAGTCACTGGTTCTTTCAGGTCCTCTGGGGGAGGGCACGGTGGTCAGGAGCTCGAGGACCGGAGAAAGTTGAGGGGGGAAAGTACAGGGCACGGGGTGGGAGCGGGAGGCGGCGGGGGGCCTGGAAACGCTCGGCGGCCCCAAGCTAGGTCGCCACGGAGCCCCGGGCGCTCACTTTTCTTTCTCCATTGTCTGGGCAGCCTTTGATTCCTCCACTTCCCCACCCACCCCTAGCGGAAACCCGGAATTTGGGGGGCGGTGTGTGTGGGAGAGAGTGCCCGCGCGAATGGGGGTGCGGGCTGGGCCGCCTCCTGGGTCCCGGGAATCAAGTTCATTCACTCGGCGGGGGGGCGGGGCGCCGGCAGGAGCCGCCTCGGAGGGCCGCAGCCGCACACGCACCCGGCGCGCTCCCGCCCCGCAGCCCCAGGCGCGCCGCGGCCCCGCCCTGCCCGCACCCCCGCGGGAAGGGAGCCGCTTTCCGCCGGCGCCCCGGGCCCTGGGGGTGGGGATTGGGACGCCGCCAGCGCGCTAGGAGGAGGTGGAGGAGGAGGAGGAGAGGGGCCGGGCGCGCGGAGGAGGGGCGAGCCGTGGCGGCAGCGCGGCCTTCCCGCTCCGAGCGCGGCCACGTGCACCGAGCGCCGGGGGAGGGCGGGCCGCGGTGGCGAGGCCGGGGGGGGGGGGAGCGGGACCCCGCTGCCCCTCCCTGCCCGCTAGCGCGGGCTCCTGGCAGGGCTGCCCGCCGCGCCCCCAATCTCCGTGCCGGTGCACCCCAACTCCAAGAGGCCAAGTTCATTCCGGCCCCCGCCTCCGCCCTCTCCCTGCAGCCGCCTGGGGTGCTAGAGTCGGCGCCCTAGCCCCAGCTCGGGGCGGCCTGGGTGTGAGGGAATTTTCCATTCGTTTCTTTCTCGGGCCCAGATCGGCTCAGGGCTTCTCTCATTAGGATGTTCTCGTGGCTTGAGCGTCTGCTGCGAGCACTGAAAGACCTCTCTCTGGGCGGGTTTTCGGAGGTGCACGAAGGGTGGCAGAGCTATTTTTGAAAAAAAAAAAAAAAAAGTCCCAGTACTGTGGCACCGGTCTGATACCTTTAACAAATGAGGGGGAGAGACGCGAGGACTGGGGGAGGCGCGCGGGAGGAGGAGGAAGGTGGGGGGCGGGGGGTGTGGAGAGGCTGGTGCAAAAGGAACGCGCGTTTGCAGGAGGAGGAGTAAAGCGGTGATTGTGTAATTAAATAATAAAACAATCCTTAAGTCTGATTTGGAGAGAGCTCGAGCGGGGTCCAGAGGGTGGAACAGTGAATCTTTCAACTTGCAAGTTTTTCAAGGAAAGGGAGCGAGAGAGGGAGGGGGAAAAAGCGCCCAGAACAGAAAAGAGGAGTTTGCAGCTGAGCGGGATCGATCGTTTGGGAAAATTTCAGGAGGTCCTTCCGATCCCTTCCGTGGGCTGTGGGCAGCGGCACCAGCAGCGGCGTCCACGCTCGGCGGGTCAGACGCGGGGCGCGGCGGGCGGGCGGCTGTGCAGAGGGGCCCGAGCGCAGCAAAGTCTTTTCCGCCCGGGAGCTTCGCGTTCGCGCCCCCTCCCTCACCCCGGCCTCTCCCTGCTCCCCCCACCCCCACCCCTACCCGGCCCTCTCCGGCGCGCGCCCCGCCACCCGCGCGCACTCGCTGGCGCTCCCCCTCGCGCACACACATGGTCGGCTCGCGGCAAAGTTTCGCCTGCGATCGCCACTCCCGGATCCTGCTGCAGCGTTCGAGGCGGTAACCTTGAACTTTCCCACCGCGGTGACACATTCTCCGAGCTTTCCCCACCGCCAGGCCTCCTGCGCCCCCCTCCCCGCCTTTTTTTTTTTTTTTTTTAAAGCATTTCATCACCCACCACCACCCCATACCCATACCGAATCCTCGAGCACCCCAAGCCCCCAACAACAACAACTGCAAAGCAGAAAACAAATTCCCCCAAACCAGGCGACCAGCAGCCTGCACCGGCGGCGGCCTTGGGGAGCTCGGCCGGCGCGCGCGGACCGCAAGAGGGTTAAAACTGTAGATTGGATTTCACCCCGGGAAATCTAGCTCGCCGAGTGAACTTGAATCTTTGGCTATTTAAGGAGGACTGGGTTTGTTGCGAAGTTGCGGTGATCCAGCGCAGAGCACTGTCCTGATTGATCGCATCGCTGGGCTCAGATGACTGTAAAATGAATAGATGAAATCCTTGCTTCTCGAAGATTTTCTTGGGCATCTCCGGGAAAGTGCGTTTTAAGGCGAAGTCATGATGTATTCTCCCATCTGTCTCACTCAGGTACTTGTCTTGGTCGTTTTCTTGAGCTTTCTCTCTGGCCCCAGACGCCTTTGTTGTTTCTTCTTGCTTTTGTGCCGCAAACCTCAACGGCTTTGCCTAATCCTGGTCTCCCTAGTGTAGTGGCTAGGAGTTGCGGTGGGCTGTGCGGGTGGCGTGGGACCAGGGCTGCGGCGCGCGCCCAGCCCCGCGCCTAGGCGGGGAGAGCCCGGGAGAGCCGGCACTGGGCAGGCGAGGCTGCCGGGATGGGCAGGGCGGAGACCCGCGGCTCTAAGCCCCTGTGCGGGCCCCCGGAGCTGGTGGCAGCGGCGGCACCCCTACTCTTTGGTCGGCGTGCGTGGAGCGACTCCGGCTTGGGAGCGGCTTGGGATCTTGGGCAAAGTACTGAGAGCCTGACTGAGCGCCTCTGGACTCTGCTGCCCACAGTGAGCTGGTGACTCCGCCGGTTCGAAGTGGTGGTCCCGGCGACCCATTTCTTTGCTTATTTGGGTACCTAAAGTACTGGTCTGCAGTTACCCGCACTTGAGGGTTTCAGAGACCGTACTTCAGAGGCGATTTTTTAAGTTGACAAGAGTTTAGTTGATTGTAGTGAATGTTTAGGACTTTTAAGGCATGCTTGTTTTATAGTGAGGCTTGTTCATTTGATGATATTTGGGTATAACTAGAAAGGCATAAAGTAATATCAGGAAAGTGAGGTCTTTTTTTTTTTCGTTTTAACTTCGAAAATTGCCCTAAAATCTAAGGAACAATGTTAGGAGGTAAAGCACTGGCGATATACTTAAAAAACAAAACCAGTTTCTATCCCTACCAATCAGATGGTCAAGTGAAAAAGTGGTTAGATCAAGCGACTTACCTGGGCGCGCTTTCATCCTTTCATGGATGCCCCACGAACTCATCAACTGATGAACTAAACAGCCTAGTCCAGAACTGTTATTCCCAGCAGTTAATTAAACCCTTAAACTTATGGGACAGCTTCGTGAAACTTTCAAGAATATGAATCTAGATTGGTAATCGAAAATTTTCATTGACATTATCATAGATATGAAATAGAAATGTTGTCAAGTTTTGGTTGTGTTAGTTTTTTAAAAAAAATCTAATATTATGACGATGCATTTTTATAACGAACAAATAATTAAGATTTCAATTGTATGACAATTAGAAGCCATTGTGATTCAAAAGGACTGCGGCATTCACAAACTGTGAATGAAGATGAAAACAACGATAAGGCATTCAGTGATTGGACACAGCCCTGTAGCTTTTTGGCTGACACATTTTTTATTGTTTATATTTTGTTTGGCATCTGAGTATGATTAACTTAGATATGGCTATTTTAAGCACATAAATGTGCACTTTAATTTAACAAAACTGGAAAAATGGGTTGTCAAGTTATTTGTATTTTAACAGCTATGAATGATAGTAGCCCATGAATATGATGAAATTGCCTCAGGTATAAAATATTGCCTGTAGTTTTAAAAGTTACTTTTATTTATTCATCGGCAGGCGTTTCCCCTTCTTTCTGATAAACCATAACTATTCCTATTATTTCTACATCGTGATCAAAGGAAGCGGATTAAAGTAAGCGCTTCCTTCACAAAGTGAGGCCTGACTGGTGCTCACCTGGGAAGGACTGGGTAATTGTGTCTCTGTATTTGTATTTCCAAACTCTTGCTTTTGGGAAACTGCTAGCAATTGCATTATATTTTTAATCTCCCCTAAATAAGCATGAAAAAGTCACCAGCTCCATCTTAATTCATCTGTGTTAAAACGACTATTTCAGAATATTGACACATGAAATGTTTGGAACATAGACTGCGCAATCACCCAACTATCGCATTGCTATTCAAGGACACATACTTCCCAACATTAATTCAGGATGATGACTATATATTCCGTCTTATTTTAGCAGTATAAATCTGGGTTGATGCATTACTACTGCTTTTGAGGACTAAAGGCCTATGCCAGAGAAGGAGTTACTGTTTTAGAGTTCCCAACTATTAATCACTTTATGACTTTGTAGGTAATTTAAGGTATGGCAGAAGCGAGAGTGCCCGCACGGAAGTGTTACTTTTGTATCAGATGAGTAGTTTAGTTTTATGTTACAGGAGCCTGATAGCTGCTCACACCTGTTTTGAGGCATGCAGATACAAAATAAACTACATTGTTAATTTGTTAGAAACTTTAAGAAGTATCCCAAATGTTAATTGACACATTTAGGTTCTTAAAAAACAAAACTTAATCTAAAAGACCTTACCATTAAACTTTATTTAGCTACCTGGTTTGGTATAGTATCACGATGCCAGCATTTGTCGGCCAGTATGAGTAAAAGGAAAATTAAGAAGCATCTATCTGTTTTAATATTTTGGTTATCTGCATATAAGCCTTTAATATAATATTGAATTGGCTGAATTGGCATGATGATGTTTTTTTTCCATTGTCATTCAAGTTCTTCCAGCATTTTCTTTTCAGGGTTTATTGTTATGTGGTGATGAGGCTCCAAGAGCACGCTGTATTTACTCTACCATGACTATGTTGGACCAATTTCCCAATCCTTTCATGAAATCATTGTCTCCATGCAGAAGAATAAATAAATCTAGTTAAATTAGACTTTTATATTTATATTTGAAAATTTAACTTGTCTATTTTGTCAATTTAGTTCTACTCGAGAAAGTTTTATAAGGAAATTATCTCATTGAACGTCAGTATATTTGAAGAAAAATTCTGAGAGTGAGCTTTATCTGAGTATAGGGACTTTAAATGTTAAATCACTTCTATGCTTTGATTTAAAAATAATTTTGATAGTTTCTTAGTGTAATTGTGACAATCTATGAGGACATTTAAATGCCTTAATCCTGTTTATTTTTTTCTACATGAGGACAGCTACGTTCCACATTCTTGTCATTTAAAATTATTAAGAATATATTACAATACAGCCTTAGGAAGCAGTCACACTTGGGAGATGACGCTTAGACATGAAATGCAAAAGTATATGTGGCATACTGCTTGTCTCCACTTATTACCATTTTGGGACAATATGTCTTCTTATCAAGTAAGTGTTCTACTTAAAGTTGAATCTGCAAATATGGATGCGCCAAAAGATATTAAGGCAAATTGGTGGACTGAGAAAGTGTGCCACTTCTGTTTCTCAATAAAGAAAAGTTATGTTTTAAAATAATATTTGCTGTCAGTGACAGCAAACCCAAGACAACAGTACAACAGTTTTTTTTTTGTTGTTGTTTTGTTTTTTTTTGTCCACTGGCTAAGAGTTTCCAAATTCAACTTCAAATTAGCATCTTGGTGGTGTAATGCAATTATCTAAAATTAAAATTTGTTATATAACAGATGACGTTTATTGTCGAGTATTAAATCTCAAAATTATTTGATCGAAAGTTACGTTGATGTCCTTCTAAGAAAATGAAATGTCACTGAACATAGTATTTAAGTATCTGAGTACTTCAGTGTTCCTGGGTTGCTTAATAGCCATTAAATAATGTGCATTTTCGAAAGCGTGGTTAGGCTAAAAAGAGCGGGACAAAGCACTCTTGCCCATATTCCCTGCATCCTCAAGGCTTTCATTTACAGAAGTGTAGATGCATTTTTTAAATTATATCAGTAAATCACAGTAAAAGTCAGATCCTAGGAAGTGAGTTCATAAAGCACATTGAAGTCCACATTTCCTTAAGCAGACAGGCGTTCCTTTTGCATGTATTTTGAGGGGAGGGGATAAACAAAGTTTTTACAGTTACAGTGGGAGCTAAAAGCATGGCATCAGACAGTGTATGGAGATAGGGAGGTCTTATCATGGGCTGTGGTTGCTGTGAGCAGAGCTGCCTTCCCACACAAAGAACAGATTGTGGTTTAACTCTTTCCATGGCCCCCTTTAATGTGCGCACATAGTAACCGAATTGTTCAAATCTCTGCTGGAAAGTCCTGATCGGTTTAATTTCCTCCGTGGCATTTGGCTCTGCCTCATGCTGCGATGTAATCAGCTGCATTCTGCATTATAAAATTTGGATGCATTCTTAGTCGGCAATATGTCAGAGCATGTGATAACCGGGCTATCGATTAGGGGAGTTGTGTACCTGTTCTGGATCTGGATGCAAACTAGTAATAGGTCGCAGTCTTCTGCACCCAAACTTTGAATTCCATCTTAAAGAGACTTCCACGGAGACATGGAATTCGGGGGCGGCTTCTTTGTTGGTGTGTCGCTAGTTTACCTTGATCACCTTTATCATGTGAAATTAGTCATTCTACTGGACTCTTGATGTGCTTCAGAGTAACGCACATGAATGGGTGCACTCCGGCTTGGGATGTAACCTATTAGAGAAACTTCTTTTGTGGTTAGGATGACACAACAATCCAAATGACCAGAAAAATGGTCGTAGTGGGGTTCTCCTTTGCGTCAGTGCTTGGCGTATGGCATTTATATATTGTTCATGCGTGGGATGCTGTTCTTTTTCTCTGAACAGCAATGGGTCTGAGCTTCTATGGCCAGCTTTACCTAAGCCAGGAAGTAGTGAAACACTGACTCCACTTGGAAGTAACCAGACATTTTTGTAGGTAGGAATGACCTGCCTTGCCTGACCTGATAGCCTTCTCCCTTTCAAATGTTCAGATAAAACAGGCAGAAAACAATTCAGGCCTGCAAGGTACACCGTTTAGTTCACAGGACAGTTGGGAACTGCACGACTGAAGTCCTTGTGGGCTCCCAGGCGCATGCCCGTGTGTGCCTGTAGTCCCGTCCCATGTTCCGTCTGTGTGACACATGCATGGTAGAGATTCCACAAAAGCAGTAAATGGCCAGGGGGTGCTCCTGGTGTCCCCGTGCCACAGCATGCAGAGAAACAAAGAAAGGAAAGTTGGTGCCAAGTTGCCATTTTTCATTGTTCACCTCAGATTGATTTTTAAGGGGTTTGAATAATTGCCATACTCCTGTGATCGGTTAACAGATTAACTGACTCTGGGGGGGCTCCGGGGTCTGTAGGACGACGGTGGCAGGAACATCATGGCATTTCATTTTCAACTTTAAGAATTATTTAAAAATGAAAGTGTGTGTGTTTGTGTGTGTGTGTGTATGTGTGTGTGTGTGTGCGCGCGCGCGTGTGTGTGCGTGTGCTGGAAGCTAATGTTGGTGGTGCAGGGAGAGAATGCGCTGTTCAAAGTATGGAAACCTTGCGTCCAGGACACTGATAGACGAGCTGTGTCCTTCGCCCACTTTCCCTCCCTGTCTACCGGTTTCTCTAGTTACCACTCTTGGAATGGTGCTGCTTCAGTGTAGGAATGTTGGACGTTTGATAAGAAAATGGATCAAGTTTAATGGCGCATGCTCTTTGTGCCACCAGCAGCCTCTTGCTGAGAGCATGCTCCAAAAGCGGGAACTGTGTGGCATCACAGTGAGCATCTACATGCTTTGTGTTTCTGTGGTACAGGGAAGAGGAATGAACTGTGGCACCGCTCCTGCCTTCTGAGAAGCTCTGCTCCGGTTTCAAAAAAAAAACAAACAACAACAACAACAATAAAAAAGCCCCACTGTGTTCCTTGTGAAATGGTATTGCTTAGTGCCAGTGGGTCAATCAAATATTTAAATATTAAATTTGGTGCCAAGCACCTTATTTTAAAGGGTGTAGGTGTATGACTTTGAGGTGGGAATGAGGGGGATGGGACCAGAGCGAAAATACAAAATACAACCATATTTTCTCTGCAGAGGGGAGAACCAGTTTTGTGAATTTTGGTTGAGAGGGGACATTTTCTCCTTGTCCCGATGTCTTGTTCATTTTAAATTAGAAAATAATGTTATTTTTTAAAATAACTTTTTGTGCTGAATTGGGAGTGGATGGCGTCTTTTTTTTTTTTTAGCATTGGAAATTAAACTGTGCACCCCTTCTTTCCCTTCTGCAGGATGAATTCCACCCATTCATTGAGGCACTTCTTCCACACGTCCGTGCAATCGCCTATACTTGGTTCAACCTGCAGGCTCGAAAACGCAAGTACTTTAAAAAGCACGAGAAACGAATGTCAAAGGATGAAGAAAGAGCAGTCAAAGATGAGCTGCTCAGTGAAAAGCCTGAAATCAAACAGAAGTGGGCATCCAGGCTCCTGGCCAAACTGCGCAAAGATATCCGCCAGGAGTACCGGGAGGACTTTGTGCTTACCGTGACTGGCAAGAAGCACCCATGCTGTGTCTTATCCAATCCAGACCAGAAGGGTAAGATTAGGAGGATCGACTGCCTGCGACAGGCAGACAAAGTCTGGCGTCTGGATCTAGTCATGGTGATCCTGTTCAAAGGCATCCCTTTGGAGAGTACCGATGGCGAGCGGCTCATGAAGTCCCCACACTGCACAAACCCAGCACTTTGTGTCCAGCCACACCATATCACAGTATCAGTTAAGGAACTTGACTTGTTTTTGGCATACTACGTGCAGGAGCAAGGTAGGAGCACATTGTTCTTTCTTCTAACACGGCAAACACTACCCATCCACCTCCAGATATGGGATCTCTAGCTCGGGCCAGACTGGTCCTGGAGGCCTCCAGATGTCCTCTGCCCTCTCCAGGTACCTTGGTGTGCCCAGTTGCCCTCTGAGTCCATGGTCATGTCAGAGCCATGAAAATGGACACGGAGCTTTCCTACCTGGATAGGCTTCTGCATTTGGAGAAACAGACCCAGAGTAGTCTAAGAAATACAGTTTATTGCACTCCACTCTCTGGACCAGGCTGCATCTCCTCCCTGCTTCTGAAAATTCAACTTTACTGATGGTAGTCGAAGCAGTGTTTAGTAATCTTTGTACTAGTCTCTTACCTAGCGAGGTAGATGAACTTTGTTCATACATCTCGTGTTGATTGTACCAAAAATCAAATTAGTGTTTACTGTTACAGAGTGTCTAAGCTGGTCGCTATGAAAAAATATATCTGACAGAGGCCTAGATGTCTGTCATTTTAATATTTCTATCCACAGCTCCTTTTGATTGTGCAGTGCTCACCATAGATCTAATGCAGCACAGTTCTTATTTAAGTAATTTATAATACTTTCCCAGAGTGACTTGGGAACACTCTCTATTATTAGTTTACTTGAATGCAAATTCATAGTGCTTCCCAAGGAAGAAGTCACAGCTTTCTTTACAGAGCAAACCAGAAAGGAGACTGGTTACACTGGTTCAGAATAAATCTCAAAAGAATGCAGAGCCCGCATACCGGACTGTGTTTAAAGTCCTCGGTGAAGAGCCTGCAAATGTTGCCTGCACAGCGCAAAAGAGGCAGTGCTCCTGCCAAGGGTTTGGAGTTAACGAGATCGATTTCTTTGCTCTTTCTATTTTTCTTAAGTAGGTGAGACTTTTGACTTTGTCCCCCCCCCCATCAGTATGTCAGGACACAGCCCACATAGGAAAAGTCCCTTTAAGAAAACACCATCCCGAAAGTGGCCTCAAGTTTGGGCTGCCACAGATGGCGGGTCATTTCCGAACTTGGCCTGGTGGGAGGGAAGGTGGCCTGCAGATAGCCAGGTGGCAGACAGTTATCCGATGCTCATTATATAAACGCGGGCTTTAATAAATTGCTCTGTACTTTATTGTCATCCAGAAAAGTGGAATAAGAAAATTACTCATGACTCAGACAGACCTCTAGTACTCACTGTGCGCCCTTTGTTTTTATTTCCCCTTGACTTAGCTCTAGAGCTATACTTGAGTGTCGCTTCAGGATTTTATTTTTTTTTAACTTTGATTTTAAGCCACAGTGTTGGACAACATCGTTTGGAAATGTATTTCCTAACAAACAAACCACCACGTTTGCTCTTTCCCTGTACTAAGAACTCACATTCAAGTAATGGTGGGTGGGAAAACATATTTTTCATCCTTGATGTCTTAAAATAAGAGGTCATTAATGCATACCAACTTGATGGACAGCTGTCTAAGAGGTGACATTTTTTAGGTGGGCTGTATGTACGTGTTAGATGGACTGTGTTGTGACTGTTGGGAAGTCACTGGTTAGAAGGAAAAGTTTTGCAGAGTGGGTCATGGAGCTCTCTAGTCGGGAGGGAAGATCGGTACCATGCTCCTGCTTTAACTGTTGGTGGTTAGTCGAGAGGACTTATGTGCAGATTTACTCTGGGGCAGACAGCCAAATTTCTTAGTTTTGTTGAGCTGACAGTAGATATTGTCTTTTAGATTTGGGAAGATAGATTGAAAAAAGAAAAAAAAAGACAGAAAACCATATATATTTATATATTGCATATACATATATTTTACTAGTGGTCATGATAACCGTGAAGTTTTGAGCCAAGTCTTAGAGACTGTATTTTCAGGCACAATGTTGGTTTTGTTGTTTGATAACTTCCCCAATCTAAAAACCTTTGGGAATTTTCCCTGTGTGTCTTATCATCTGTCCTCTCTGCCACCTGCCCTTGCATCCTCTCCTCTTAACACTTGGTGGCCCTTCTTAAAAAGTCACATTAGGGTGCTTTTGTGTCTTTTCTTTTTCAAAATTTATGTCTTTTTATTTGTGAATTATGGGTTGATTGTCATTTTGCATTGTAGTTGATCAAGAAAGTGGGTTTTAAAATATAAGGTTGTGGACACCCGGAGTGTTTCATCTCACAGCCTAACTTTTTATTTCTCCTCTAAGTACATAGAACATACTTACGTCATTTTAAAAATTAGATAAAATATAGAGAAAAGCATGAAAGAAAAATTAAAAGAGAAATCTGTTTATAACAGAATGAGCAACACAATTACCCCCCTTTCCTCTCCTTATAAAGGACCGGGGAAAACACGAGGAAGGATAGAGAGAGTGCCAAAGATGGTTGCCACTGGCACCAGGATTGGCACCAGACCCTCTTTGTTTAGCTCTGGGTGCCTGTGATTTGTTAGTTGGCATCCGCATTGCAGTGTGGAGTGATGTTACAATATATTGACAATTTCCAGATCTAGAAATGTCAGTAGTCCTCTTGGCTATTTTCAGATCACATACTTCTTCTCTAATGGAAGATGAAATAAAGATGGATGGATAATAAACTTCCTTTGTTGACCAACTTCCCAGTGCTTTTCTTTCTCCCTGCCTCATTTGGTTCAACCCACACCTTCCCCCTACTCCATCCCTAGCAACCTCATCTTTTCTGGAATGTGGAAAGAGTTACTGGAGCTTTGACACAAACTATAGTGCTACATCTGTATCTGATATAGTTTGGGGGAAGAACTTGTATCATTTTTGATACGTAGTTTATTAGGCTTTTGCATCACAGGGCAGTATTTTGTTCAAAGCTCAGTGTCTTTGTTACTCAGCTTCTTCCGTGCATATAGCCTGATGGACCGCAATTCAGTCCATTTTATTCTTTCTTTATATTAGCAGAGGGTCATATTAAATAGAGTTATTTATAAAACTATATGCTCCATTTTAGCTCAAATTTGGTACGTGATTTGGGAGTTACTATATTTAAGTTCATAAAAATCATCTGATGCTATTGATTCAGAGGGCTGCGCTTCGGCTGTTCCGTTGCTACAAGAACCGCCATTTTGTTTGTGAAGTGCCAGGCGAGGGGGAAAAAAAAGGCAGACACTGTGTTTGATGCCAATAATGGTTGCCAGTGGCACCGAGGTTGGCATCAGACCCTCTTTGTCTAGCTGCTGAATGCCTTTGATTCGTTGGTTGGCACCCGCATTGCAGTGGGCACACTGGAAAGTTTTTGACAATCCCTGAATGAAAGCTGCCTGCTCGTCTGCCGCAGCAAAGCTTAGCTAATAGAAAACCCTTCCCTTTTTATTTTATTTTTTTTTAGGCTTAAGAAAAAAGATTGTAACAGATTAAGGAAAAATTGTTCTAAAATGGGCTCCATATTCCCGAAGATATTAAAGATGTCCAATGATTCTTGGGCAGGTGGTACCTATTCCCCATATTGTCTTTGTTATTGCATTCATCAAAACAAAGCAAAGCAAAACAGAATGCAGAGCAGCAAGCCTTGTGTGGTGCACCTTCTCAGGACACACCAGCCTTAAAGTACAGGGTATGCTACGACAAGTGGGTGGGAGCATGCTCAGTGTAGGGATGGATAAGCGCACCCGTTATGACTGACTGTTGCTTTCATTTACATCCCTATTGATTTCTCATTCAATTCCTAGTTCTCTCGATTTCTACACTTCTGTTTCTAGTAGTTTGTTAAGAGGTCCTTCCTTCTCTAGTTAGCAATGTATACAGTGAACACGTGAAAAACAGAAACCTTAATGAGGGAGCTACATGTCAAAATCAGTCATTCTTAACCTCAATTTTGCACCAAGATGTTGTCAAATTCTTAGTGCACAATTCCACATTCAGGGTGAGTGAGTCGGGAAGCAGACGATAACCAAAAGAAAGGCTAAAATAATTTTGATCCGGGTTTCCTCGATAGCGTTAATATTGCTTCCCAGTTAACGGTCATTATCTCATTAATTAATAAGAAGGATTAGCAGTTCTACCCAAAGGGCTACACAGAAGGAAGTGTGGCCTATGGGAGGCCCTGAGTTGCCAGACTCTGTCCTGTCTGGAGTCACGAGATTCAGGGATGCTGGTGGGGGGTGTGGGAGGGGGTGTGAGAAGGAAGCAAGGGCCGGGCTTTCTGTGAGGCACAGAGGGGTTTATTGAGAAGACAGGTCACAACACAGAGCTTAAAGATCTCAAGAGATAGTGTCTGCTGTTAGGAATTTAACAGATGGGAGTTTAAAGCGAGCCAGCCCAAGCGAATTTCGGACCCTACTTTCCACTCTTGTTAGACATGTTTTTGGAGTGTGGCAGAGCCCAGCAGTCTTGCTTCTATCCCGAACAAGTAACTTCCTTTTAGCCTTGTTGAACCCTTAACATTAATTGTGGTCCATTGTTGGATGGCAACTTTTGCGGCTCGATTGTTAAACGATATCATAATTGAAGTGTATCTGGAAGTTGCGAAAGACGTGACTTGTTTGGAGGGGAAGTTGTAATCATGATTGTCTTTGAAACGGAGCCCTTCCTGCTTGTCACATGGCATTAGCGAGGACACACTTGCAGGGCGGTTTTCCTCCTTCAGCTCCTGCAGCTCAGAGTCCTTCTGGGTAGCAATTATTTCTTTATGAAAAGCTTAAATAGATCATTGTTTGCAAGTTGACAGCACTTTTTAACATTTTAATAATTTTCACTTCATTTGCAGGTATTTCCCATTGTGGGGGCAAACAAGCTTTCTTAGCTTGCTGAAATGACGCCACTCTGTGGGGGGGGATTTGGTGGGCTTTCATGGTGACATCAGAGAGCATGAAGTTGTGTGGATACATGTTTGATGTAGGAAATGGCTGTTCAATTTTTCCCATCCTGGTACCCTGTCCCTGACTGAACTTCTGAACTCTGGTACACATTTGTTTGCATTCTTCCTCATACACAATTCACCAGATAAAGAAGGGCTCTTATTGGTGTGTCTTGCCCCTAGACTTAATGAGACCTTT